GACCGCCAGAACCCCGACTCGTCATAGTCTCTCAAATCCATATAAGCGCCTCCTCCACCGAAACATGCATTGAGCCCCGCTTCATCGAGACTCCAATCTTGATTATTCAATCAGAAGGTAATCATCTCTAACTGATTGGTCATTGCCCTTTTCTTCTTCTCCACGGTGCTCAAGAATTCGAGCACCATCCTCCTATACGTCCTCGGTCGAGTACCGAAGACTCCAGCCAATCCGATCCTGTTCCAAAGAGGCCTCACCGCCTCATGTATGCCAATCGCTCGCTCGGGGGCCTCATCCGGATATCGGGTAGGCCTTTATCGCCATCTTTGCGAGTCGGGTCCATCTCTCCCTCTACCAGTCGTGCGGCAGTATAACTCCCAACTCGCTCCCGGGAGTCGCTTCGGCCTCGACATCCTCAATAGCTCGTGCCCGTGGACAATTCTGTGGAGGGTTCGGTGGACGGTTCGCACGAGGTGGGACACCGGCACCCCCGCTATTCCTTGTTTGCCTACGATTGTTCATTTTGTACCTACATTTGCAAATTAAATATATCAACCTCAATATCACAAATCCACAAGAAATCCATCAACGTCAAAACTCACATTATAACATTCTCCATATCATACTCAAAATCCAATTCCAAACAAGTCCCAAAAAGAGAGCAAATAACATCAAACCAAAAGTACTCTTCAAACAATTCCACAAAAATTCACAAACCAAACACAAATTCATAAACAATAATCATCTCCTACACATTCTTTCTTCAATCATCTCAACAATGTAGATAAAATCATGGAAGCAAACATACTACCCCAAATAACTCGTGACAACTTCATCACCTCTCTTTATTTTTTTCACAACGTCACAATTTCAACAAAAATTCATCCAACTACAATCACTAGCCAAAGCATTTCAACACAATTTCACCAAATAACATCAACTCTCCAATAATTCCACACATTCATCAAAAATTCACACAAATGTAATCAAGGTTAAGATATAAACAAATAAGCTCAACAAAATAATTCACCTCATGACGAACATCACCCTCTTCCCAATATCAAACAATTAGAACCAAGAACCATACCAAAAAGAGTGCAAAATCATCAATGAAATCTCGCACATGAAGTGTTCGATGAAATTCCTCAACAAGTTTTTAACCCTAACATCAAGCTACTACCATAGACGCACCACCATACCTCAATTCAACATCCAATTCGCGAAACTACAAGAAAAAGGAAGAGAATTCGTACCTTCTTCGATGAATTTGAGCAAAAACCCGCAACAAGTAAACCCTAGGTCTAAGAACACCAAAATTCCTTCACTTTCTCAAGCAATTTTCGTAAGTAAGAGATTAGGAAGTGTGTGTGTGTGAATTTCGTGAAGAAATCGAGCACAAGAAGCAAAATAAATCGAAAAATCGAGAGACACGAGAGAGATGCAAGAGAGAGAGGCGAGAGACGCGCGGTCGTGTGCTTGAGAAAGTGAAGAAGAGAAAGCTTTTTTTTTTTTAAACTGCCCAGGCGTCATACGAGCCGTGTCCAAAGGACACACGAGCCGTGTGACGCTATTAAAAATCCGCAAAAAGTCGCCTAGGGTCACACGACCCGTGTCCAACGATCACACGACCCGTGTGCAGACACACGACCTGTGTCACAAACTCACACGGGTCGTGTGAAAAAGCCGTAGCCACACTTCAAAAATTCATATTTTTTTCCAGGTCACACGAGCCGTGTCACTGGGACACACGACCCGTGTGGTCCTGGAACCCCCTTTTTTTTGAATAAATAAAATCAAACTAAGCCTATTCTAAAGAAAAACTATACACTAAATCATTGGGTTGCCTCCAAATAAGCGCTTAGTTTAACGTCTTTAGCTAGACCAATACCTGGCAGACCTTTAGTCGTTCAAATAGACGATGAAGAACGTCTTGGCTTGCTCCGGGCTGAAGTATGGCTTATCCGCTGAGCATTCACCACGAATGTAGTGTCGTCACTTACCGCCAATTCCACGGTTCCATTTGTCATCATCTTCGTGATCACGAACGGTCCAGACCACCTCGACTTGAACTTACCGGGAAAGAGCTTGAGTCGCGAATTGAAGAGTAGAACTTGTTCACCTACATCAAATTCTCGCTTCCTAATCAATTTGTCATGGTATCTCTTTGTCTTCTCCTTATAGATACGAGAACTCTCATACGTCTCCGTGCGAAACTCGTCCAATTCGTTGAGCTGCAACTTCCTTTCGAGCCTGGCTTTTTCGAAGTCGAGATTAATCTTCCTCATAGCCCAATATGCCTTGTGCTCCAATTCAACAGGCAAGTGACATGATTTACCAAATACCAATTGATATGGAGACATACCTAGAGGAGTCTTGTACGCCGTCCGATAAGCCCAGAATGCGTGGTTGAGGTGATTCACCCAATCCTTACGACTTCCAATGACTTTCTCGAGCACTTGCTTGATCTCCCGATTAGCCAACTCGGCTTGCCCATTAGCTTGTGGATGGTACACCGTCGTCACTTTATGCTTCACTCCATACTTGGCAAGGAGACTTCCAAGCCACTTATTACAAAAGTTCGACCCACCATCGCTAATCAACGCTCTCGGAGTCCCAAAGCGTGTAAGGATATTCACTCTCAAAAATTTCAGCACCTTCTTAGCATCATTCGTCTTGGTTGGCACCGCCTCGACCCATCTCGAAACATAGTACACCGCCAAAAGAATGTACTTGGACCCATAAGACATCGGAAAAGGTCCTATAAAATCGATCCCCCATACGTCAAAGAGCTCCACCTCAATGATGTTGGTGAGGGGCATCTCATCTCGCCTAGAAATTTCTCTCGTCCGTTGGCACCTATCACATGATAACACGAACCAGTGACAATATTTATAAATAGACGGCCAATAGAAGCCGCTTTGCAACACCTTGATGGCAGTTCAATTTCCCGCGAAGTGACCTCCACCCGGTGATGAATGACATTGCCTCATGATTTCTCCCCATTCATCTTCGGGAACACACCTTCTAATAACCATGTCCGCGCACCTCCGGAATAAGTATGGCTCGTCCCAATAGTAGAACTTCACGTCATGAAAGAACTTCTTCCTCGCATAGTAGGACAAATCCGGAGGTGGTACGCCCGACACCAAGTAATTCACATAATCGCCGTACCAAGGTAGGTGGGCTTGAATATGCATCATGTGCTCGTCCGGAAAATCTTCATTAATAGGGACCAAACGATCATCCCCTTCAACCGGGCACTCCAATCGAGATAAATGGTCCGCCACAACATTCTCGCATCCCTTCCGGTCCCGGATTTCCAGATCAAACTCTTGAAGTAAGAGCACCCATCGAATCAATCTTGGCTTGGCATCCTTCTTCGCCATGAGGTGTCGAATTGCTGCATGATCGGTAAACACGATTGTCTGCGTCCCAACAAGGTAGGGTCGAAACTTGTCAAACGCATACACCACCGCTAGCATCTCTTTCTCCGTAGTCGTGTAATTTACTTGAGCCAGATCCAACGTCTTGCTCGCATAATAAATCACTCGAAAGAGTTTATCTCGCTTTTGGCCCAAAGCGACCCCCACGGCTACATCACTCGCGTCGCACATCAACTCGAACGGTTTCTCCCAATCCGGCACAATCAAAATAGGAGCACTAACAAGGGACTTCTTCAATGTCTCAAAAGCCTGCAAACACTTCTCACTAAAATCAAATGCAACATCTTTTTCTAACAATACACTAAGAGGTTTAGAAATTTTAGCAAAATCACGAATGAACCTCCTATAAAATCCCGCATGGCCCAAGAAACTCCTTACCGACTTCACGTTCATAGGAGGTGGAAGTTTTTCAATGGCAACAATTTTTGCCCGATCTACCTCAAGCCCGGCGGAAGACACGCGATGCCCTAGAACTATACCTTCCTTCACCATAAAGTGACATTTCTCCCAATTTAAAACAAGGTTAGTTTCTTCACATCGCTGCAACACTCGAGATAAATTAGCCAAGCAATTATCAAATGAAGTACCAAACACCGAAAAATCATCCATAAACACCTCCATAATATTCTCAATTAAATCATGAAAAATTGCCATCATACATCTTTGAAAGGTAGCAGGAGCATTACATAAACCAAAAGGCATCCTACGATAAGCAAAAACACCATAAGGACATGTAAAAGCTGTCTTCTCTTGGTCTTCCGAAGCTATCAAAATATGATTGTATCCGGAATAACCATAAAGAAAACAATAAAAATCATAACCCGCTAACCTATCAAGCATTTGATCCACAAAAGGCAAAGGAAAGTGATCCTTACGAGTAGCGGCATTTAATTTACGATAATCAATACAAACACGCCAACCTGTCAAAAGCCTAGTAGCAACAACACCATCATGCTCATCTTTCACAATAGTCATCCCCCCTTTCTTAGCCACAACTTGTGTAGGACTAACCCATTCACTATTAGAAATAGCAAAAATCATCCCCGCATCTAACAATTTAAGGACCTCTTTTCTTACTATTTCTTGCATAATTGGATTTAGCCTACGTTGATTTTGAACACATGGCTTATAATTATCCTCAAGAAAAATTCTATGCATGCAAATAGAGGGACTAATACCTTTTAAATCACTAATCGACCAACCAATCGCCGATTTATGCCCTCTTAAGACTCTCAATAATCTCTCAAGCTCTGAATTAGAAAGGTAAGAAGAAACGATTACCGGAAACGTGTCATTCTCTCCAAGATATGCATACTTCAAGTGCTCCAGTAAAGGTTTCAACTCTAACTTCAGGACTCCATCTTTCTTTTCTCCTTGACTTGCACTTGGTCCCGGCTCATCACGTCTCAACTCCAAAAATGCGGCCTGCCTCTTCGGGATTTCCCTACAAGAATCCAACACATTAACACATTTAAATATTTTTTTTCTTGAAAAGGATCAAACGAAGAAGAAGAAAATAATGATTTTTGAACACATAGATCAAAAGGGTCTTTAGACGAAGAAGTAATCATGTCATTGTCGAAGGAAGCCTCGACAACTTCAATCACTTTACATTCTTCGATCTCACCATCCTCATTATTATTCTTCATCGCTTGATATATGGAAAATGTGATGCTCTCTTCATCAACCCAGAGAGTAAGCTCGCCATTCTTCACATCAATCAATGCTCCCCCGGTTGCAAGAAACGGACGACCCAAAATTAGTGGAACCTCCTTATCCTCCTCCATGTCAAGGACCACAAAATCAGCCGGGAAGATAAACTCCTCGACTTTCACCAATACGTCTTCCACAATCCCCTTCAGATAAGACAAGGATTTATCCGCCATTTGCAATGCAATCGTAGTGGGCCTAATCGTCCCAATCTCCAACCTCTTGAAAATTGATAGTGGCATGAGATTGATGCTTGCTCCCAAGTCGCACAACACCTTCCCGAACCGCTTTCCTCCTATAATGCATGCAATGGTGAAGCTCTCGGGATCCTTGCGTTTGAAAGGCATCTTCTTTTGGATCATAGCACTACACTCCTCCGTCAAATTCACCTTCTCATACGCTTTGAGCTTCTTCTTCCTAGATACCATGTCCTTCAAGAACTTGGCATATTTGGGCATCTCCTGCAATGCATCAACAAGAGGAATATTTATTTGAACTTTAGTAAATATTTCACGAAATTTGGCATATTGTTCGTCAATTTTTTTCTTTGCAAAACGTTGAGGAAAAGGTAAAGGAATATTAGGAGTAGAAGTGTTAGAAGTAGATTTTGGCTTCTCAGCCCCTGTAATTGCCGATTTTGGGGGCTCCACTACTACTTCCTCAACTTCTTCCTCTTCCTTGCTTTCCTCAGGCTCGACTTTTTCCGGCTCATTAGTTGGCATCCTTGGTCCCTCGTACTCCAAGCCACTCCTTAGACGGATGGATTTGCATTGTTCCTTTAGATTCACCTCTGTGTTGCTCGGAAATTGTCCTCTCTGCTGTAGACTTCCTACTGCTGTGGCCAACTGTCCAATTTGTTGTTCCATTGACTTCATTTGCTACTCCAAGGTAGAGTGCTTAGCCTGAGATTCACCCATGAATTGTTGCGTCTGAGTCATGAATGTTTGGGTGGTGGCTGCTAATGAGGAGAGCACATCTTCGGGTGCTGGTTTCTTCGGCTCGTTGATGACCCCGTTGGTCACCGAAAATCCAGGAGGTGGTTGTAGAGCATTATTCGGATTTGCATATGATAAACTAGGGTGATTCCAGTTGCCTTGGTAATAAGTGTTCCCCGCTTGAGGTCCTCGAAAATTTCCAAAATTCCGATTATTCACAAAATTCAGGTCCTCGACCGGTTCCCCAACTCCTAAGCCCTCAGCCTTTCCCCCTTGCATGTTGTTTATCACCAATGCTGCTATTTGAGCCACCATCGAAGCGGCTGAGTCCGCCTCATTCGTAGCCGCCACTCTCTTAAGCATAGTCCTCTCAACCGGCCACTGATAGCTATTCGACGCCATCTCCTCAAGAATTCGCTTCGCGTCGTTCGGTCGCCTTCCCAAAAGGGCACCTCCAGCTGAGGCGTCCACCATAGCCTTCATCGGGCCACTCAATCCATTGTAGAAATAACAAATTTGGTGCTCCTCTGAAAATCCATGCTGAGGGCACGTCCGAAGGAGTTGCGTGTAACGCTCCCAGGCCTCGTATAAAGGCTCACCATCTTGTTGCTTGAATTGAGTGATCTCCGTCTGAAGTCTCAACATCTTACTCGGTGGGAAGAACTTCAAGAGAAATTTGTGACGCATCTCATCCCATGTTGTCACTGTCCCGGCCTCAAGAGAATTGTACCACACCTTGGCTTTATCTCTAAGAGAGAAAGAGAAAAGCCTAAGCCGGATAACATCCTCCGGGACTCCATTGTACTTCACCGTACAACATATCTCCAGAAATTGCGCCAGATGCGCATTCGGGTCCTCGATTGCAGCTCCCCCAAACTGCTTTTGCTGCACCATTCGAATCAAGGACGGGCTTAACTCAAAAGTATTAGCCGCAATTCTCGGCCTGTGACCTCCTCCGTATACTTGGTCAGCATGAGGTTGGAAGATGTTCCGAACCGGTGTTCCTGTCTCTTGTTGAGCCTGCTGCGCAGCCAGTTGGCGTTGTAGCTCCTCCAGTTGTGCCTCGAGCTGTCTATATCACTCTTCACCTTGTTCCTCCATTGCACTTCTCAGTCGTTGTTGTAGTCTCCGATTTGCATTGTTCCTTCGACAACTAGCTTCAATCTCGGGGTCAAATTTCGCGGGTGAATTCCCACTAGACCTTGTAATCATGCACGTGACTGTCAAAACACACAAACCAAAAAGGATGCAATTAAGAACCAAAGTATTAAAAAAAAATAAAAATGACTAAAGTAATATCTACTCGTCTTCTTCTAATATTAATTAATTTTAACAAAACAATCCCCGGCAACGGCGCCAAAAACTTGTTCGCGAAATATTTTCACCCGCAAGTGTACGGAGTAGCTGTAGCAAATGGCGAGCAAGGTCGTATTCCACAGAGATTGTTGCTAGAATAATTAAGTACCAAAATATAGACGATTAAATATTATCTAGACTAATGCAAATTCGATTGGAGTTTTTATTCTAAACTAATGAATGAATGCAAAAATAAGTTCTAACACTAATGAAGGTTTGTTCTAATTAAATCAAGTATGAGAAAATAGATTCTAGGCTATGCTTTCCTCGGGTTTATTCTAGCGAAGTTTTCTTATTCATTCAAACCTTATTTAATTCTACCAATCGTAGGGATAATCGCTAAACTAATTTACACCTTTCTCTCGAACAAGTTAAATCGTAGATATTAATTGTTTTCTTTCTCCTCTCGGTCTCAAGATGAACAACTAACTCCCATAAGCTCCTCAGATTCTAGTTCCCTCGCAAGATTCTATCAACCTCTCAGTCTGTTTAGTCTATTACGTTATGAATTTCCCAATTCTAGCAATCAACTATCTCCTCTCGGTCTCAAGCCAATCACAAATATGCATAAATACGAAATTCACACAATTCATATAATCACAAGAAATTGATAAACGAAAGATAGACCGGAATGAATAAACAAAATCACTTCATAAAATAATCTGAGTACTCGCAAATCCTAGAATCTCAATGAGATTTAGCTACTAAACATATTCTCAATACTCAAAATAAATAAATCCATGAGTTCAATGAAGAAGAAAAAGAGAAAAGAAAGAAGAACTATTGTTGCCGTTAGTTCCCGGATCTTCAATCTTGACTTCCTCGAATCTCTCGTGTGTTTCGTGCTTTCTCTAGGCCTCCAATGGTGTCAAAAGTCCCAAAACCGTGTTCTTTATGTTCCTTATATACTATAGGGCAAATATGGGTCGAAAAAGGGACAAAATCACGTAGGTTTCCTATTTCCCGCTGGACTGTCTGCGCGTAACACGACTCGTGTCACTAGCCACACGAGTCGTGTGGCTTTTCTTCAATTTTCGACAAAGTTCCAGGGCCACACGACCACCCCACACGAGACGTCACACGAGTCGTGTGAGCCCACACGACTCGTGTCATGGGCCACGCGACTCGTGTGGTAAAGCCATACCAAAATTCCACAAGAGCTCGATTTTTCTCACCTCACACGACTCGTGTCACTATCCACACGAGTCGTGTGGCCTGTCTGCACCCTTTTTTCGTCGTTTTTCGTCCCGATTCCATCTTTAACGCTTTTTCGGGCATATTTCCTGCAAAACCAATGACGAATATACCTCCATCATAGATTAATAAATCAAACAAAATGGTGCACAATCCCACGATAAACACGGTCAAACATCACACTATATCACTCATAATGCATGAAAATATGATGAATGTCATCTACATTTTATATGACATGTTCTCTAAACTTTTCCAAAACAGGAAGAATAAGCACTTATTTAATATATGACAATGTTTCAGTATGATATGAACGTGTTTAATTTTATAATGAACATGTTTAAATACAAAATGAACACGTTTGAAAATAAAATAAACATGTTATGAAAACAAATTTGTTACAAAAAACAACCATAATGAATGTACATTCGTTATTGTTTTTCGACCAAATCTACATTAAATCACCGTGCATTCGTCATATAATACATTATATGGATATTAAACTCGTTATAGGTCTATTAAATGCTTGGCTTCATTTGAACGAACCGGTTTCCTATGAACCAGTCAAAATTGGTTGATCAAAATAGTTCAAAAATGTGATTGTACAATAAAATATTTTTCAAAATAAATGATACTAAAAAATTATATTATTTAAAACAATAATAAATTACTCACTGAAACTGTGAGGGTTATTAAAAAATAGTAAACGTTTTTAATAATATAAGTAGTTTAAGTCAATAACAGTATTTGTTTAATTTTTTTAATATATTACTACATTAATATTTAGTTACAAAATAAAAAACGAGTTTATATACTATTAAACACAATTTCGTTGTACTGAGTCTTTAGAATTTTAGAAATGCAGATATTATTAATTTATAAATTTATATTCTACACACTATCTTTAAAATTATAATGGTATAACAAAATAATTTTTAATATTGTTAATATATTAAAAACGAAATTGTTAATTTCATATAACAAAATTTAAATATATCAACTTTTTTAAATATCATTATGTTACAAAATATAATTCAAATATATTATTGTATATTATTATTGTTAAATTTGATCAATTTATAATTAACACAATATAGATCGTGACGTTTATTTTGCACAATAGATCTACATAATAGTTTTATTATTTCGTTACATACAAAATGTTATTATTAGTACACGGCTATTTTAATTAGTACATGAGTACTAAATGTTATTAAATATCAACTATTTATTGTTTAATTCAAATACATCGGTAACAGCTCATATGTTACCGCTTTATAAATAAAATTACACAATATACTTGACATGTACTCAATTCACACGGTTGACAGATGTGGGCAAATATACCATATCCACTTTGAGATTGAATTGAACAAATAATATTATAATTAAATAGAAATGGATACACATATGTTGGACTGATTTAGCCGCACAAAATTAGGGAACACAATTAAATCCACATATAAATATAAGTTGACTTAAATAAAATTATTTTGGAAGTAGATTGATTAGATATAATTTCAATAAGATCCGTATATTAATTTTCATAGTAATTTATTGATTAATATATTATCGCCTATGATCGTATATTAAATTAATCAATTTAAAATTTAATTTAGTTAAATCTCGAGTTTTGATTGTAAGATTCATATTTGACACGTTAAAATTGGTAAATGAACTGAATGTGAACTCAACTATCTCATGTTTGGTTAACGAGTAGATAAAAGCTCGTTATTAATAAACAACTAGTACGACTCATATACCTGTGTACATGCACGTGTACATTTAATTATATTATAAGAATTATATAAAGTTCAAATTCAACAATATAAATAAATATTAGAATAAAATATTTTTTATTATAAAAAATTAATTGTACACAACATTATATACATGCCGACTTGTCCTCTCCATATCCATATATCCAACTAATGCTCGAATTTCTATAAGTGATGCATTTCTTAATGGCTCATTAATATTTTTTTTCCTTGACATTGGCAAGGTTGACACACGCTAGTCACCTTCGGTCCAAGAAAAACCAATTTTCCGCATTTCTATCTATGGAATTTCTGCAAGGCCTACGTTGCGTCAAAGTAAGAGCTTTTGCAGAAACTATGCACCGAATATCATTGATGCTCACAAGGCCAAGTATACAACATTTACATATAATACTCATAAGACTAAAAGATTCTGAGGCTTGAGATATCTGTGTAGAACACCATGACAATGACAGAAAGCAACACCTTTGCAAAGTTGATACATTAAACTCTTGATGTTGTTCGATGGAATATTTCCTCCATCTTCAACAACCTGAATTTCGACCAAAAACAATTGAATCACCCCATTCCAAGAAAACCCCTTCTCACCAAATCATTTGACCCGATATAAATTGACCTGATATAAACCAAGGAAAAAAAGAATGAACAAATAAATACGCGCTGATACCTGCTGTATTCACTCCGGTTCATTATTGCCGCATGAAAACACAAACCAATACACCCCCAACCAACTACATCAAGACCGACGACCCCACTAGCCGCCCCACACCACTCGTCGGAATTATATCCGACAATGAGCACTTCTCGCCGTTGAAATAAGCCCTAGTCGGAAACCCGTCGAATATCGAAAAACTATAAGATTAGACTATGTTGAATTCCATTTAACCACTTAACATATCATATTTTTCAGTTTCAAGGAACTTAAAGTCCTAAGAACTTTGGACCTAACAACTCATCAGCTACCTTGCATACAATATAGATAAATTGGTTTGATCAAACAAAAATAGNNAAAAAAAAAAAAAAAAAAAAAACAAAATTAATATGTACATACAGAAACATTATGAAAGCAGATAGCAAACAACAGATATAATTACCTGTGAACATCTTCTTGCACCCTATTCGGGCTGGGGTTGGGCTCGAGCCTGGGAATGGGTTGAAAGGGTTTCGGCCATGGAGGAGGAAAAAGAGCGATTGGTGAGGAATTTTGGTCCAATGGACTCGGGAAGCCGGCGTCTAGCGGTAGTCGGATGAGGAGCGAACAAAGGTCGAGTTTCCAGCGTCAATTGTCGATTGATTCACGAGACGGACGGAGCAGCGGACTCGGAGTAACGGGGGAAGTGGAAAATTTGACAGAAGAACTGAGCAATGGGCGCGAACGGAGCAGCGAATCGCCGGAGAGGTTGAATATTTTGAACTGAGCAGCGAACGTAACGCGAATGGAGAAGTGGAAAATTTGGGGGGAAAGGAAACAGGGAAGACAAAAATTTGAGGGGAAAAGGAAAAAACAAAATGTGATTTCATAAATAAATATTACAACAACTAGTGCGGCACACGAGCTAGTTTTATTAAGGTACACATTTAAATTTGGACGATTCGATGATTTGAGAACGTAAAGAGCATGTATT